CTAAACCCTGAGCCTAAGCCTACGCCTAAGCCTAACCCAGCAGAAGTGAGCACAACTCCTGTCCATTATCACCGAAAAACCTCTTCATTCTAAAGTATCATGTAAAGAACCTGCATAACTTCTGGGTTGATCAGCAGGTGTTTGCTCTGATATAAAACATTAAACAGACAGTTTATATATATTATGTACATTACCACAGTACAGCAGAGGCCCAGTGTCATATGAAGTGATACCGCTACGAGCTTCTGTTGTTCATCGTAGATCCAGTATAATATAATATAAAACTGTGCTTTGTGTGAACATGCATGCTGGTGTGAATGTGAAGTGCACGACTGGTAACTACCACTAACTACTATTAACCCTAATCTAGTACAGAACAATCCGAATGTAAAAAACATTTCTAGCCTGATATTATACTGCGGACTGACGAATCTTCACCTTTTCAGCTTTCAAACATATAACCTGAACCAGAGGAGCCTCATGTGTCCGACGACTAACATTCAGCTGCAGCATCAGTGTACCAGCACAACTCCTGAACCCGAACCCCAACAGCACAACTCCAGACGAGACACATCCCGGTACCAGCGCTGACACTGAGCACATCTTAGGTTCTTGTATCTTTGGATGGATGTCAACATCTATAAATTCTGAACGAAACTGACACTTGCAGTTCATTCAACACAAAATGACACAGATAGGTGGACAGTAAGTCACCTCTACGTCTGTACAACCTCTGAGTCGCTGGATGGACCCTGAAAACTCCACCTGTGTATCAGAATGTTCCCATACCATGACATACTGCCTCTCTCCACGCAGCTCAAGCACACCTGCTCACCTGTGAATCTCCCCAAACGCAGTAAAACTACGGTTGTAATACTGGAGCCATTCAGCCATACGTGTTGGAACCGGAAACCAATTCTGAAGAAGAGTAACATCACACAAAGTCCCATCCTGATGGATCCTGAGCTCTGCTGTGTCTGAAGTCTTAATGTGTGTTTCTGAAATGGATCGGTCCAGTTAGAATCATTCAGCCATGGCTCTGGCCGCTGATGTCCCTCATGGTGACCTTCAGCGTATAAAACACACCATGTGGACACGGAGCAGGTAAAAAGCCTGGTCTTTGTCTTTCAGTATGAAACAGGGCAAGTTATTGAAGGTTAAAACAGGAAGGAGCACCTCAAAAGGGAAACACGACGAGCTATGCTAGTGATCATTTAAAGTCTTTTCAAGAATCTGCACTGCAAAAGTTAAAAACCATGTTTGCTATTAATAGTGGAGCGTATCTGGTGGTGTGTAGTAAGAGGTGTCTGGCACGGCGGCAGACAAAGCCACGTCAGCTGTGATTTACTCTTTGGCGTGCACTTTTATTGGATTGTAGACCCAAAAAGAGTTGGGAAACACACACACATGCACAGAGTGAAAGGCCCAACGCTACAGGAACCGCTCCAGCCCAGACAGGCCCGGATTGTTGTGTTTCCATAGTGACCTGGCAGCACACAGCTGACTGCGGCAGGAATACACACACACACATAGATGGACAGAGAGACTCACAAAGGGGGAGAGACGTGGGGGAGGACGGCAGGAAGGAGGAGGTGAGGCAGGAGAGGAGTAGAAGTGAAACAGGAGTCGGCTGGAAGGAAAAGAGTGAAAGGCAGATAAGCAAAAGCAAAGCAGACGGAGAAGATGTGTGGGTGGGATTAGAACATATTCACCAGCTTCACTCCATAACCTTTATCCCTGCTCGGTAAAGAACCATCGTTCTCATGTCGTCCATTGTTCTGACCACACAGCCTGTAAACAGCCTATCACACCACGCCAGCCTCTGTGCACACCCAATAATCTCATCAGTCACACAGGCAGAAACATGACACCTCAGATGGGCCCGAGGAGCGCCATACTGACTTGTTTTTTTTTTTTTGTCAGAGCGTAGGTGGAGAAAACTTTTAGTGCGGAGCGAGCCAACTCCCTCCCTCCCCCGCTGCCTTGGTTTCTCCCTCTGTCTTCACATGAAAGTGATAGATCTGGGGCTTTATGACCTCTTTATAGACACAAAGGCTGCATTGAGATCAGGGAGAATGAGGAGAGCGAACCAGCCCTGCACTCATCACAGCTCCTTTCTTCAGCGTTGCATTTCCTCCCCCCCCCCACACTAGCTTTTTTTAAAACTTTCTCTCTAACTTGTGGTTTTCTCTCCTCCCTCCCCCGGTCTTACACCGACCAATCACAGCGCCGGACGCCGCTAACCACATCGGCCAGTTGGCCAGGGACCAATGACAACGCAGTAAAACAACACGAAGGGCAATTTCTCCCATCCCACTTGGCTGATTTAGGATTTGTGGACCCTTCAACAGCCCGTCCACACACGC